AAAATGCTCGTAAATTTCTTGATGAAAAAGAATTTATAGAAATTGAAACTCCCATACTTGTCTCAGAGGCTTCGGGATTCAAAATTTGCTTGTAAATTTTACTTGCTAGCACCACTTTTTCGAGAAGCTTTTCCAGGTTAGTTTCCTCTTCTAATTTTTTTCTGAAAAAAGAGGAAAAATTATTCTCCGAATAGTGTTTGCTACTTCTTCCGCTTTTTTTATATTCTGCATTTAGAAAACAAAAGAAAAAGTTATCTAAATTTTCTTCCACAACGTTCTCTTTTATTTTGTTTCAATTAAATGGCAGTTTATCCACTGAAAGCCCTTTTTTCACTCAAACATCAAAGAGATTCACTTTTAAAAGATCAGAAGAAGTTAGTCCTTTTCCAGAGTTATTGATCGACTCAAATACTTCAAAAACATCAGGCACTTCTTCGATTTCTATTAATATGAATTTCAATTTCTCTTTTACCGATTCAAATACATCCAAATAGCCAGCGGCTCTTATGTTATCGTCTTTTTTGAAAGAGTTTACAAAATAATCATAGGCTTCAAAAATTCTGCTTTTTTTATTTTCGATTGGTTTTTTATAATTGATGCTCTCAATAATACTTTCAAGATCATTCCTATCTCGACCATGATGTAATTCGATTCGAGGCAAAACTTCAGTGTTTACATCCAATTCCCCTTCTTCTGGTGGATTTATAAATAACAATTCATTAATTTTAATTTTTAACCGCAAATATTTGGAAGAATCTTTCTCTTCTAATGATTTAAGTATCGCTAATAAAAATATGCAAAAAGTAGTTATTCTCTGTTGTCCATCGATAACTCAGTACTCGATAAATTCTTTTTTGTTTGTCTGTTTGTTTGGCTTATTTAGAATAATATTACCAACAAAATGCATTTCTTCCGCATCATCGTCATTACTCATTTTTACTACATTTTCTAAAAACCTTTCAAGTTGAGGTTCTTCTCAACTATAATTTCTTTGAAAGGCAGGAACAGCAAATCTCTTCTTACTGTCCATTAGTCTTCCAAAAGAAAGTATACTAGGCTTGAACTCTTTCATGATAAATATTGTTTTAATTTTTCTTTGGCTTTCGATTGCGGAAAGGCAATCGCCTCTTTAATACTATTTTGACCTGTAAATAACATTATTAATCTGTCTATTCCAATACCTAATCCGCCCGCCGGTGGCATGCCATATTCTAAAGCTTCCAGAAATTCCTTATCAAAACTAGCAATTTCTTCATTGCCTAACGCTTTTTGTTTAGTTTGTTCCTCAAATCTTTTTTTTTGCTCAATAGGGTCATTTAATTCACTATATCCATTAGCAAACTCTAATCCTCCGATGTATAACTCAAATCTGTCAGCAACATTTTCATTTTCAAGTTTGCTTTTGGCTAATGGTGAAACTTCAATCGGATAATCATAAATAAAAGTTGGTTGAATTAACTCTTTTTCCACATATTCTTCAAAAAAAGCCAAAATAATATGCCCGATACTTTTTTGAAATTTTTCTAATTTTAAATTATGTCTTTGGGCTAATTCTAACGCTTCTTCTAAATTATTTACTCATGTGAAGTCTATATCTTTATATTCTTTAATTGCTTCTACCATTGACATTCTGTGGAAAGGCTTTTGGAGGTCAATAAGATGAGAATTGAACTCAAATCTGTTCTTCTTTAATGCTTTTTGGACTAAATAATGAAATAATTCCTCCGCCAAATTCATCATATATTCCGCATTTTCGTAGGCCTGATAAATTTCAATAGTGGTAAATTCAGGATTATGGCGAGCGTCTATGCCTTCATTTCTAAATATTCTACCTATTTCATAAACTTTTTCGAAACCGCCAACTAGGAGTTTTTTTAAAGGTATTTCGGTAGCAATGCGCAGATAAAAATCTTTTTGTAATTTATTATGGTGGGTAATAAAAGGCTTAGCCTGAGCTCCCGAAGCCTCTGAGACAAGTATGGGAGTTTCAATTTCTATAAATTCTTTTTCATCAAGAAATTTACGAGCATTTT